TCCAAATGACCTCCTTTATAGCTTCAGCAACTGCCATATATTCAGCCTCTGTAGTAGACAAGGCAACAGACGACTGCAAAATGGACCTCCAACAAACTGGCCCTTTAGCCATAGTAAACACATAGCCTGTAGTAGACTTCTTTCCATCTAGATCACCTGCATAATCTGAATCAACATAACCAACTGCAAAATGACCAATACCAGAGTCATCTCTCTCAAATCATAAACCAACATCTCGAGTACCATGGAGATACCTCAATATCCACTTAGCTGCTTGCCAATGCTCTTTACCTGGATTATGCATATATCGACTCACCATGCCAACTGCATGAGCAATATCCGGTCTAGAGCATACCATCGCATACATCAAACTACCAACCAAATTTGCATATGGTATATTTTTCATTTGCAGCTTCTCTTTATCAGTTTTAGGACACTGTAGAGAACTCAATTTAAAATGAGGAGCCAAAGGGGTACTAACCGGTTTAGTTGAATCATGAACTCCAAACTTCCGAATCAACTTCTCAAAGTATTGTTTTTTATTCAAATTGACCAAACCCTTCTCTCTATCTCTAGTGATCTCCATGCCAAGGATCTTCTTCGCTTCACCAAGATCTTTCATCTCAAACTCATTCTTCATTTGCTTCTTCAATTTCTCAATCTCTTCGACATTCTTTGAGGCAATCAACATATCATCAACATATATCAACAAATAAATGAAAGACCCATCTTGCAACTTCTTGAAGTATACACAATGATCGTATTGACTTCTAGAATAATTTTGGCCTCTCATAAATTTATCAAACCTCAAATACCATTGTCTTGGAGATTGCTTCAAGCCATATAGTGATTTCTTCAATTTGCAAAACAAGTTCTCATTCCCTTTCACTATATACCCATCCGGTTGACACATATAAATCTCTTCATTCAAATCACCATGTAGGAAAGCTGTCTTCACATCAAGTTGCACAAGCTCAAGATCATATTGTGCAACAAGAGCTAATATAATACGAATTGAGGAGTGCTTCACAACCGGAGAAAATATTTCATTGTAGTCAATGCCCTCCTTTTGTGCATACCCTTTAGCAACTAATCTTGATTTGAATCTCACATTGCTTTTCTCATCAGCATCTTCCTTCTTGGCATACACCCATTTGCAACCGATAGCTTTCTTGCCCTTAGGCAATTTAGCTAACTCCCAAGTCTTGTTCTTCAAGAAAGAATGCATTTCATCACCCATGGCATTGCACCACCTCTTCTTCTCCTCACTCTCAATAGCTTCCTCAAAATTGAATGGAATCTCTTCAGTGATAATAGGAAGAGCAAAAGCAACATAGTCACTATACCGAGCTGGCTTGGTAATTTGTCTCTTTCATCTGTTCTTGGCAATAGACTCTTGAGGTGAAACTTCCTCTTCAACTTGAATGGAATCTTCTAGTTCAACTTCTTCAACATCCTCATGGTCTCCAACTTCTTTACTTGTAGTGGCATCAACATCAGCGGAAATAGGATTTGAAGTACCAGAGGCAACTTTCTCAAGCTCCACCTATTGGACATCTTTCACATTCTTCTCAGAGTCCTTGAACATACTTTCTTCATCAAATGTCACATCTCTGCTGATTACAAGTTTTTTCATCTCTGGGCACCACAACCTGTAACCTTTGACACCACTACTAAAACCAAGAAAGATAGCCTTTTTGGCTCTAGGATCAAGTTTATTTTCAGTCACATGAAAATAAGTAGGTGAACCAAAAATACGGATATAGTCATAATCAGAAGAAGGTTTTCCAGTCCATACCTCCATTAGTGTCTTACCCTGAACAGCAGCTGAGGGTAACCGGTTGATGATGTGACATGCATAATTAACTGCTTCTGCCCAAAATGACTTGCTTAAACCCGACTGAGACAACATACATCTAACCTTCTTAAGCAAGGTTCGATTCAATCCTTCTGCAACTCCATTTTGTTGTGGAGTTCCCCGACCACTGAAATGTCTCACAATTCCTTCCTCTTTGCAAACTTTAAAGAAATGGTTGGATGTGTATTCACCACCATTATCCGATCTCAAAATCTTAATCTTTCTCCCAGTCTGGTTCTCAACCATTTTCTTCCAACCCAAGAAAATGCTCAACACCTCATTCTTGTGCTTCATAGTGTAGACCCAAGACCTTCTTGAATAATCATCAACAAAGGTCACGAACCAATGTCTACCACTCAAAGAGAGAGTCTTTGTAGGACCCCAAACATCCGAATGCACATAATCAAGAATGCTCTTCGTCTGATGTACTGCAGTACCAAACTTCACTCTAGTTTGCTTTCCCAAGACACAATGCTCGCAGAAATCAAGCTTACAAGTCGTGGCACCTTTTAGAAGGCATTGTTTCACAAGCCCTTGTAGAGCTTTCTCACCGGCATGGCCTAATCTCATATGCCACAATCTAGTAGTATCTGAATAAGATGTGCCCATATTTTCAGAGACTACAGATGCTTCACCTGTCACATTGCTTCCCTGCAATAAATACAAATGGCCACATCTAGGAGCTTTCATCACAACAAGTGCACCATAAGTAACTTTCAATGTCTGTCCATCTGAATGAAACCTGAAACCTTTGGATTCCAAAGTACCCAAAGAAATAAGATTTTTCTTCAAATTCGGTACATACCGAACACCTGTCAACTCTTTAACCATGCCATCATGCAACTTCAAACGAACTGTACCAATCCCTTTTGTTGTGCAAGGATTGTCATCTCCCATGAACATAACGCCACCATCAAACGCTTTCAAGCTTGAAAACCAATCCTTGTGAGGAGTCATATGATGAGTACAACCCGTATCCAACACCCACTTAGTAGCACAATCAAATGATGAGGAAGTGGTTAAAGCAAAATCAGAAAAATCTGTTTCAACCTCAGCAACATTAGCTTCAGAACTTTCTTTGCCTTTGGTCTTCAATTTAGGACAATCTTTCTTCCAATGGCCCTTATTACGACAAAAGGCACATTCATCCATTTCCAAAGGTTTTCTACCTTTAGAGTTTCTTCTAGGTCGAGACTGTGATTTTTTCCTGCTAGAAGATGACCTCCTCTCCGATGATCTACCTCTAACAAATAAAGCTTTAGAGGTACTATCATGATTTTTATCTCTATGCCTCATTTCATAATTCATCAAGGCATTTGACACATCTTCAAATTTCACAGTTTCTTTACCATGCATAATAGTGGTAACAAAATGCTCATAAGAGTCCGGCAAGGAATTCAACAATATTAAGGCCTTATCTTCATCCTTAATATCCTCATCTAAATTTAACAAGTCGGCAATCAACTTATTAAAAGCATCAAGGTGTCTAATCATTTTTGTACCTTCTTTGTATTGAAAGCGGTAGAGCTTTTTCTTCAAGTGTAGCCGATTCTCTGCACTCTTCGTCATATACTTGTCTTCCAATTTTTGCCACAACACACTTGCTACCGTCTCCCGCATCACAAAATACTTCTGAGTTTTTGCAAGGCACAACCGAATTGAAGAGCAGGCCCACAAATTTAATTTCTCCCATTCCGGCTTTGACATAGCTTCCGGCTTCTCTTCCAAAGCGGCAAGTAGATCTTGTTGAGCCAACACATCTTTGACCTCGCATTGCCACATCCCGAAGTTGTTTGTGCCATCAAACTTTTCAACTTCGAACTTTGCATTTTGCACTGTAGTTCTTGCAAACCCGGAGCTGCTTCCAAAAGGATTCTCATCTTGCTCGTCTGACATCTTTGGCAATTAGACAGTACCCAAGAGCAACCAGTGCTCTGATACCAATTGTTGTGCTAGGATAGCACCAAACCCGTTGGAACCAACTCAAGCTAACCCACAGAAAATTTATCAAATGAAAATGCAAGAACAAAATATAAAAGACACCAAGATTTTAACGAGGTTCCTCAACAATCAGTGTAACTGGAGTACGTCATCGGAGCAGTAGGAGCTCACCCAATAATCCACTATCAACCAAATGGAAGTTTACAAAGTGTTGGCAAGCTCACAACCCAAAACCCCAATACAACCAATAGCTCTCACACACCAAAGAAACAAATAGAGAGAAATATAATGATTAATTTCTTCTCTATACAAAGCTCAAAGTTATTAAAACAACAACTACCTTGGTGGATGATTACTAACCAAAAAGATGAGCACTTTCTTCTTCTCTTCAAAGAGGGGCTGCTCCACTTCTATTTTTTCTTCTCTGTTTTTCTGATGCACAATTCTCTTCTCTCTCTCTAATTGCTCCAAAGGCAACAACACAATGTTAAAAACCAAAACTCACGGGTGTTATGGCCAAAACAATTCACCTTATACAAGGTGCCATGTTTTCCTCCCCAAAACATGGAAGGGACATAATTATTTTGTCTTTTTTCCTTTTGATTTGTTTAATAGCCACTTGGCCACTATTCAACACACTCGATGAACAGAAAGGTGAAGGAAGAAAGCAACACGGCGCCGTTGATTCAGCAACCCTCAAACCATCAGTCTCCTTTGAAGGTGTGTATATTTCCGGCAACCAACCAACTTCAACTTTTTTCTCTGCACCATGATGTGTAAATTCTGCCGAAAACAACTAACTTCAAGTACTACTCCTAATTCCCACCACAACTGTTTTTGTTTCTTTCCTCATTCCCGCCAACATTTCTTCATTTTATAATTGGAACCGTCCATTCTAGGAAAATTCATTTGATTTAGAGACGTTTAAGAGTAAAGAATCAATCTTCGAATTTCATTCAAGACAAAGTTATGTCTGGTTCTCCTATTTCTTAATAATATCGCGGTCCTTTCCAAATCTGAGCTTACAATTTCAACGGAGAAATGAGCTTTGAGCATATGCAATGTAAAAATGCATACAAATTTATTCATCGGTAAAATGTTCACAAAACTACATGATTAATTTCCAAATTTATTCTTACAAACAAAAATAATTACATATAACACGAGTGAAATACAATGTAGACAAAGAAACAGAAATGATTTAGATGTTGATACTGGTGGGAACTCCCTTGTTAGTAAGTCCAGGCTCACTAGAAGGATACAGCAAAGTGTAAGGGATCTTGGCCGGTCCGAACCGGTTTTTCAATCTCTCATCCTTGTTCATCTTTTCAATTTTGGCCTCAATCGCTTCCAAATTCTTTTTAAAATCCTCAGAAGCCTGCAGTATGTCTGCATCCGTTGTCCACTCCGCGGTGTCACGCTGTCCGAGATAGAGCTCATCAGTGGGGTGCCTTGACAAGATTTCTACCGTGGCCATTCCAAGAAGTGTCGGCAGCTGAGGTGCAAACGTTTGCAAGAATGCCTTGTCAGGGTTTGTCCTGAGCTCCTCATACTCTGGAGTGCCTTCTTCAGGCATGAACCGCCGGCTTAGGGTTGGGCGGTTTGGGACGAATCCACCAGTCGAGTACTGACCGTAGTTGATTGCTGCATGATGGGCTGAAGCAATATATATGATAGTTGTGCATGATTCTATCAGCTCATCACAAGTCTGCATTTTAGGCCACCAGGGTTCTTCTTTCTTGTCGCTGTGGCCTACCCCGCGCAGTTCCTTCCACCAGGATTGGAGTTCCGAATCATTTTGAACCATTTGATCATTTTTGTAGTAGAAGGAGCAATAGTCTTTAACCCATGTTTTAATTGCAGTCCATAATTCAAGCCCGTCCGCAGCATATGGATAGTCCTCTATCAGTAGACGCACGCCGTGTGATGCACTTGAATCTTCAACCGCCACTCCTCTGAACATAGAAAAAGGGAAGATGCTTTCAATTTACCATCGATTGTAGATGAAAAAAGTACTTAAAAAATGCTACTAACGCAAGATATTACCTTTTGATCAGATCCGCAGGGAGCGCTTGATCAGGAAAAGTCCAGTCCTTGTACATTGCTGATGACCATTCCATCGAAAACTTGGAAGCAAATATTATTTCCTCTATTACTCCACCTGCGTTTGTGAGAACCTGTCGTGCGGATGCGTTTGCATTCATCGTCCCACGAAAATGAGGATGCAGAAGTTTGTGAATCGGGTGAAGCACGCTCAACTGCCTATTTGCCGCTATCACAAATGGCTCAGTCACTGCATGAGCTCTCAACCTGCAACAAACAAAACAGAAATATAAAATTTATGAATTTATGTTGCTATCGCAAATGCTACCATTTGTTTTGCTGATATTTCTTTGACAGGGATATACCAGTGGCTGAAAAGCTGATGACAGCCGGAGTCATTTACAAGTGCATAACCTTTAGCAAATTGCCAAATGGAACTCTCGACGCCTTGGCTAGACGGAGTATAGACTTTGCTAATGCAACCAAATTGATCTCCATCCGGATGTGGCAAGCTGAGTTCAATAGCTATTGGCTTCAAAGTCCCATCATTGTTCAAGAAAAGGAGTGTTCTGCTTGCGTAAGCTTTTGTGGAAGTTCTGTTTATCCGCCTCAGGTACGGCATCCATGCATCGTGGTGGTTTAATATGAATAGCTTGTTGTTCATGATTGCCTCATCTATGGTGAGTCCATTTAAGTTATGTTCTATGTGTTCTTTGGTTATTTGACTTGTTTGATCCCCATATACTTCTCGGTCTAGCTCGCTAGACGGTGGAAATTCCTGTAGTTTATGCAGAAATTACTGCGATTAGGGATGAACAATTGAGAAAATATCATTCAAATATAATAGATCTCAAAAGCTAAGATTACTTGGAGACGACGTATAGTGACAGGATTTACTCCAGCCAGCAGTTCTCTTGCAAATTCTTCGTCAGTTCTCCATGCCGACTTATCCTCTAGTAAAAATCAATTAAAATACCAAAATGAGTTAAAAAGAAAAGCAGTATATGAAATTGAAGGCACATATAACGTTATACTATATTACCTTTGATCACTTGAGGCACTGGAAATTTTAGGAACTTTTCGCCATCAGTTCGAAAAAGCTCCTTGAAAATCTCCCCAGGTGTGCTATCACTAATGTATTTTAGTATCCCATCAGGCAACTCTAATCCTCCTTCATAGAGTTTAAGTACTTCTTCCATGCTTTCGAACTCGTCTTTGTTACCAACGAGTAGATCTCTTATCTCAGGTTTAAGGACCTGAGGGATGGATTTCAGGACATAAGCAAGCAAGTCTGACATCTTTATGGGTCCAAATCGTTCGTCTCTTGGAACGTATACATTTAAGATCTGGATAAGCTTCAGCCTGCTCTCGGTGTTAGGATCTATCAAGACAAGAAGTATAAACGTCTTAGAGACTTCCGAGTTTGAGTAGTGATGGCACGAGAAATGAATTTTATTTACAGACCTGTTTTTGTTGCTGGTCTTCCTGTTTTTCCGCGGCGAGGATATGGGTACTCAATAGATCCTCCAAGAACTGGACGTGCATATTCGGGACCCTTATCTGGATTCCCCAAATCGTTGTAGTATGCATAGTCATAGACCCTGTCCCATTCCTGAAGCTCTCCTCTTTCTTCATCGTCTCCTCGCAGGTTTACTAGCTCTTCTTCTCTAAATTTCTGTAGTGGCTTTGGTGTATCACTTGAAAGATAAGTCTGCACAAACACATAAACAATCTGTTAATTACCGAGGACTTATGCGCGATTGTAACAACCATGTTAGCGAAGAAAACAGCCCTTTTGTCCAAATATACGAATCAATCTATTGATTTGGTGGGGGACTTTTGCGCATTGAAATGACCATTTTCGGTACCTTGTTAGAGAAGAAAACACGGTCTTTTTTGTACTTGTCAGCAGGATACACCCATGAGTTGCAAACAAAGTGGACTCGACCTTCGCCAGGAACATCTTCGAGCGTGAGAGTCTTCAAGTAGAATTCACTGTGATGCTCATTTCTAACTACGAAAGCTCCCGGGACGCCAATTTCCTTTTCCCAATCAAAAGTAACATCAAATGCAGCCTCCCCTGCTGTTAAGGGGGCGATTGTGGTCACCCAGTTCTCCAAGTATGCTGGCTTTCCAACTTTTCCTTTCAACTCATTTTCTACAAAAAGAACATATCAAATTCAAAAATCCAAAAAAATGTCAGATTATAAGTCCTCTAAATAGTGATTCTTTTGGAGTCTACGTTAAGATGTTCCGTTTTCTCTTTGGGGTTTATTTCTTTCAATAAGAAGATTATGCGAGATTAACTCTTTAGTAACAAAGCAGCATTGTCTAACAGATTACGTACTCATTCAACAATATAACTAACAAGTACTAGTGATTAACTTGGAACCATGAACTTCAAAGACAAAATACTATATATTCAGTTCTCACCAGGGGCACCATTAACCGAACTAATGAGCCTTAGAGAAACTGCTTTGCCTAACAGCTCGTCAACACGATCAAGAATCGAAGCTTTAAGGTCGTTCACATCGAGAACAACCTTCTTCATCAACACCACTCTCCCCTTGATCTTCTTGCCCTCATTTTTGTGTTGCGTATCAACGGTGGTATCCTGGGACGATGTGGGATACTTGGAATGCAGCATCTTTATCTTAATTGAAAACGGAAAATGTTAACAGAAGGAGAAAGGTTTGAAGATCTCTGAATTGTTATGGGAGAAACGTGTGTGGTATTTAAAGGTAGTTCAATAGTGTTCAATTTAATCCTGCCATTATTTTTTACTTTTATAAAGACTTTTGGGCTACATGCCATGGCTGCATGTGAACTTGAAGGTGATCAATACGTAACCAACTTATCCAGCTACTTTGCCTTCAATGTCTACGATTTGATTTAAGACCAAGTCATGATTTTGCATTGTACATGATTCAATGAACTTCTAACCTTTTTTTCTTCTTTTTGTTGGCGTCAGATGTTGGCTTGATGCACTTCCTCTCTATATGCACATAAATTCGGATCCCCTCATGATTTATATTAGTTGAAAAAGTTATCCATATATTTGAATTTTGCCCAAGTCATGATTTTGGATTGTTTATGATTCAATGAACTACAAGCTCGCTTTGTTTTTGTTTTTGGGTGCAACAACTCCAAAATCTCTAAACCAAACCCAAAAAATAGAGACAAATTTTAGCAATATTAATATTCATTAATATGATACGTGGTTTTTTTCTTTCGAACCACTTTTATTGTCATTTTGCATTGTTTATACTTTGAAAAACTTCATCAATTGTCTAGACACACATAAGCGGATCCACATTTACTAGAATGAATACAATTCGCCCCTATTCACCACACTCAACTCCCCTTAAGATTAGTTTACAACAAAATTGGGGGTATGCTATCCATACACCTCAAATTACTTCTCATACACCCTTGTTAATTTTTATCCGTTGATATTCTTTAATTCATCCGATCCGACGGCCGAAAATTAGAATGGTGTGTGAGAAGTAAAATGGGGTGTGTGGATATCACACCTCTAAAATTATATAACTTTAGCAACATTAAATTTCCTTATGGCACTTTTTTTCTCTCTTAGTAATTGTACAAATTCTCTGTTTTATATCTTTTGTGTTTTATATTGGCCATGTGTGATTTGGCAATGGATGTTTCACTTTCAAGTGCCCAATCAACCGTCGCCATCTTAACATCTTTTAGGCTATCTACCAAACCAACAAATATTAGACAAATGTTAGCAATATTAGATTATTTAATGAAACATTTTGGGGAAACTCATGGTCCTCTATTATTCGGCGGAAAGCAATCAAATATTTTGAAAATTCTCGGTTCTTTGCTACTAAATTGTTCCACAATTTTCTAGCGCTTTCTACTAAATACTGGGACTCGTAGTAAGTTAAAAACCTGAATAATTATTTCAAGTTAGAGCAAACAAATGTTTTTCATATTGCATCTAGTGCAACATCCTAATGGATTGGGTGTTGGGCATCTAGCCATGAGTTTCGGTTCGAAACTCCACCATCCTTTAAATTATTGTAGTTGCTTTGAACTGTTTTCCATCCCTTAATAATAATAAATAATAAAAAATCTTTCATATTAAATATACAGAGGGTGCTTTTGACGTGCTTTTGACAGATTGGAGGTTGCCAACGGCCGTTTTCAAGTTTCAGAGTATCTCCAACAGTTGTTAAATTTTTGGTGAACATTGTTGAAAAACAAACTAGTCATTCTCTTTTAACTTTTTATCTTGATCAATACTCTATTTTAACAAACTTTGAATATTATATTATCAATCATTTTGAAAAGAAAAAACTCAACCTACTCATTTTTTAAAATCGTCTTATTTCTTTTCTTCTCAGCTCACGAGTTAGCCCTGAGTTATATCAATTTTAAGTATTTAACTTATGAACAGTTGATCTATAAATTTAAAGAGTAACTGTTCATTTTAATAGCAGAGACTCTTTTATGGTCTACTAGAGATGATTTTTTTTTTTAAGATTTAGCTCTTTAAAATAGAGTTTTAGTGCTTTTAGCATGTTAACTAGTTGGCATTCTCTTATGAAACTGCAGTGTAACGCTGGTGCAGCAACTGAGTTCAACCAAGCTCGAAACAAACAACTTGAATTGAAGGAAGATTGGAAGAACGTAGATCTTTTCTACTGAAGAAAAAAGTAGTGCAACAACTCGAGTGTGAGAGATGAGAATCATAGCGGGCGGGTAAACGTATTGTATAAGACAGTCTCCAATTGGAAGATATAACACAAAATAATATATAATTTATATGTGAAAGTTACATTACTAATATTATCGAGGATTTTTTATTTTTATATAAATATTTGATTTAGTTTAGAATAATATCGGTGATATTAATAGTATGTTGACCTAAAATTTTTATGACAGCAGCAGTTATCAACCATAGCTATTAAGATATGTATGTAGTATACTTGTTGAATAATTATAACCCTTAAAGAACGGATAACAGTATCCAAAACAGGTCCCGAAACCGCGTACTTATCTGCCTGTAGGCTGTAACCAACCATCACCATTAAAGAATCAGTTATTTTGCCCATCCCTACACCACATGAGGCATAAAGGTCAACCAGTTCATATTGTTCAATAGAAATAGTCTCCATTTTAAATAAAAATACGTATTTGCTACTTGCCCAGCATGTGACGGTGTTTCCAGACGTGAGCAACTTAATCCACTTCTTATTTTCTATTTCTGGTGGTTGACATTAAGACCTAGTCATTTTGCATTGTTTATGATTCAAGCAATGTCGACCGTGTTTTTTAGCAGACTTGCATGTGTGTATCCACATTCGCTGGAGTGAATATCTTTTCGAAGCTGTTTGCATTTTGGAGGGCTTAATTTTCTAGAGCATTCACGGGAAATCAGGAATTGTTCATGGCCGAAATGAACACAACAAAACAAACTACGGTATGTTTAGAAGGGTATTGTGTGATTACAATTGTCCGAATTTACACAAACGGCAGAGCTGTTCAAAACATCATATTCACTGATTAGCCGAGTAATATGACAGTAATTTACTACGGAAGGTTCAAAGCCAAAATCTACATATCCCGATGCGGTACTTTTCCTACTAAATCTCTCTAGTGCTGCATTGTCCTTTGCGTAGTGTTTAGTTAATTTCCATTCATGTGCTAGATTGTTGAAAGTTTTAATATTATTTTATAATATTAAATTTATTAGTTGAATGAAAACTAGAAGAGGTGTCTTCTGGTGGAAAAAATGTATCTATCCTAATATGAAATTCAAATGAATAGCTGTAACTTTTGATTTTTCATGAATTGTCACATGCTTTCTAAAAAGACATCTCAATTTTTATAAATTGGGAAGCCTCATACAGTCACTAAAAAACTTTTCATTGTTTACGTAATCATACAAAGAGGACACTAAATATTAGAGAGTCTCATTGAGTCCATATGAGAGAGTTTTCAACACCTTTGTGGTTCATTGGAGCCTTGTGATTTGGAGTGCTGTTATTACAAGGGAGTGGTCGTTATATCTTGGAGACAAGCGCCGATTAATCATGAGCACCAGGCGTAAACTTGTCTAAAGGACAGAGTACTATCTAACATTTGCCTCAACCTATTTTTAAGTTTTTCTAATCCTTATGCCATGTTCATTTAACATTTGGTTGATCATGTGTATGCTTTAAATTGTATATTTACTTGCATGATGGTGTGGGTTCAAACCCTGTCAGTAATTAACCTAACAAAATTTATTATTTGGTAAAAGAAAATAAAAATAATACAACAATTAGACTCTAATTTTCCAACACCTGTAACCATTACCATAAAAAAAATCTGTTATTTTGCCCATCTCGACACCAAACGAGGCCTAAGGGCCAGGCAGTTCATTATTATTCAATGTATATTATAAATAGTCTCCATTTAAAAAAAAAACGAAAAGAAAAAGACCTAGTTGCTACTTGCCCTGCATGTGAAGATGCTCTGAGACGTAATCAACTTAATCCACTTATTGTTTTCTATTTCTGGGATTGACATTAAGACCTAGTCATTTTGCATTGTTTATGATTCAAGCAACGTCAACCATTTTTTTAGCAGACTTGTATTCACGTTAATTGGAGTGGATATCTTTTCAAACCTACGCGTTTGCGTTCTAATTCTTTCGTGATTTAGATTAGTTTACAGTCAAATTTTATACAAACTTTAGCAGTATTAGACTTTTGAATGACATTTTAGCAAACATTAGATTCTCTAGTGACACTTTTTTTGTCTCTTATTAGTTGTCCAAATCCTTTGTTTACGTCTTCTGATTTATATTGGCCATATGTGATTTGTTGATAGATATTTCACTCTACCTAATAACCACCGCCATCTTAATATACTTGTGTAAACATGTATGGACAAAATTTTAACATTTAGATTGTCTAATATGGCACCTTTTAGGATCTTCGGTTGCTTGCTACAAAACTGTTACACAATTTTCTGTCCATCGCTATTAAATAGTTGGATTCATTACGACCTCAATACTTATTTCATGTTAGAGCAAACAAGTGTTTTCATATTAAAAATTTTCACTACACCAACATTGAACAATTTTCTGGAATTATTCGGAGAAAAAAAATTTATATATAGCAAGCAAAGAATATGATGAGTGAAATACAGACTAGAGACTATTTTTTGGATACAAGCAACATACTTGAAATTTATTTAAACTGCGGGGAAGGGATTTGAATTTGAGGCATAAGTGGGAGCACATCTACTCTATCCAATGTGACTACACCTGCGTCTGCAATTAGAGAAGCATTAGATTGACACACTGTTGGGAATTCCCTTGCCAGTGAGTCCAGCCTCACTGGAAGGATACATCAAAGTGTATGGGATCTTGGCCGGCCCAATGCGGTTTTTCAGTTTCTCATCATTGTTCATATTTCTAATTTTTTCCTCAATCTCGTCCAGCTTCTTTCTAAGTTTCTCAGAAGCTTGCAGTATGTATGTGTCCGTTGTCCATGCCGCGGTTTCTCTCCTCCCGAGATAAACCTCATCAGCCGGGTGCCTTGATAAGACTTCGATCAAGGCCATGCCAAGAAGTGTCTCCAGGTGAGGTGCAAAAGTTTCCAAGAATACTTTGTTAGGGTTTTTCTT